AAGAATAGATAGAAATGTTTAGACAAAATAAACTAAAATTTGTAAAAACTTTAGACATATATAAAAATGAAATTTATTTAGCAAACGTTTAATATATTGGCATTATGGAAAAAGATATGTTTCTTGTACACATGAAAATCAATTTATATCCCTAGATTTAATAAAAACGAACCTTATAAATAAATTGTTAATAAAAATTTTCAACAGACTCATTTAGGATTAATAATAATAGGAATAAAAGGGCTTCATAGAGAAAATTTAGGAGTTAAAGTATTAATATATTTATATGATAGCAAATTCATGGATATAGAACAGGAATTATTAGGAAGCATGGAATTATACATGAATAATAAAGGCAGAATAGTATATTTCACACCAAACTATTTAGTCAGAACAAAAAATTTCTATAAAGATATTAAAATTGGAATAAAAAGCAAAGGATATCAAATGAAAAGATATGAGGATAATTTATTTATTTGCCTAGAATTCATAGGAATTTTTAATGAAAATAGTACTACTAATTATAAATTAGAAAATAATCAAATAATTACATTATTAGGACAAAAATATATAAAAGTTATCCCAGCAAAGAAATTCTCTTCAAAAACAAATGTAGGATTAGATTAGAATTTAGGAATTTTTTTAGAAAAATCAATATTAGTACCAGGAGATAATATTATGAAAAATTTAGTAATGCAACTTTAAGCATTAGATTTAGAAATTATAATTATCAAGCAAAACAGATAAAGTATAATGAAGAAGAAATGAAGGAGAATGTGGATAATTTGAAATAGATGATATGACTTTGAAGACGAGATTAATGCTTTATATGGAGATAGTGAAGAAAACGAAAGCAAGGATGATGAAAAAGAATTTGGATACATAGATATGAAATATTATATAAATCTTAGAAAAGCTAGAGAAATAGAAACTAAAATGTTAATGAAAAATCAAGTAGACATAGAAATCAAAATGGAAGAAACTAGCAAAAGAGCTAAAATGGAAACAGATCAAGAATTGGAAAAAAAAAATCCATGAATACAGAATTTGACATAGGAGGTAAATATCATTTTCCCTTGCAAAAGAGTATTAATGGACTGATAAAAAAATATAAAAGTCTAGAAAAAAGACAAACAGAAAAAGAATATAGTTTACCATTAGCAAGCGACAGAGGATTAATTTTAGAATTAAATAATTGTAAACCACAAGACATACTTAGTATTATAACTAAATGGGAAAAATCTATAATTACTAATTAGGGCATATAATAGTGTATCTATACAAATGACTGTAGAAAAAAATGTAGATTTACTTAAAAACTTATTTAGGAAAGACAGTTGTAGATGTATATGTTATAGCAAAAAGACTAAAAACAGACGAAATTAGATTAAGAATGGCTGGAGGAGATAATCCTAAAAATTTTACAAGTTTTATTAAAGAATTAATTAGAGGTTCTGATCCCAGTAGAAATAATACCTACGAACAAAATAAAGCCTTAGAAGACTTAGAAAAATTAAGTATTAGTATTATGAAATATATACAACCATTATTTTTAGACTTTGAAAGATTAGCAAACACAACAGGATTAGCATTAGATTATACAATACTTGAAAGGTTATATAGAGAGATACCACTATCATGAAATGATAAGATTAGAAAAAATGTAGAGTTGACCCAACAAGAGAAATGACTATTAGTGCCACAATAAAATTCATAACTGATAAATAGGAAGAATATTGTATAAAGAAGTAGTTAGAAAACAAATAAAGAAATTAAATTATTCTTTTTGCTCAGATTTATATACACCACAGACATATAATTATAAAAGAAAAAAGAAAAAATTGTATAAAAAACATAAATATAAAGGCAATATCAAAATAAAAAGA